AAAAAAAACGAAAAGTGGCCGAAAATAGCACACAATGAGCACAATAATACGAACAAATTTTTTCTTCATTTTTTCATTTTAGCGCCGCTAACTTGATTGAGCTGCCTCGAGTGGCATTGCTGTCCTTTGAAATTCGTGTTGCGGCAACCGTCGCACAGTGGGAATAAATGTATCATAAATAATATTAATTGCAGCTAATTTTTTTTTTGTTTAAGTTAAGCATTTATTGACGTAAAGTTGTTCTTCCAATTTTAATTGCAATTTTAATAAATACCAAGAATTTTATAAGGTTAAAAAAAAAACTTTTAAAACCAAAATTATATATTATATAAGCATATATTTTCAATTCATTGCTACGGCACTTATAACACTTAAAACTAAAAATGCATGTTGAAATCTGTAATTTAGGATATTTGTATTGACCGTAAAAATTCGGGTTACGAATCATTTTCCTGCAAAATTTGTCCGACAAGTTTTATTTCCTTCTCTGCTTAAGGCAATATTAATAAGGTAAAAATAAAATCCACGCGTTCAGAAGAAGGATTTCCTTCTAATTAATATTTGAATTCTTTAACCTAGATCCAAGAGTTAATGGTGGAGTCTGTGTTTTCGCGTTGATACAAATACGTATGTTTTTCCAGTGCATTTCGAAATTTGTTATTTTATCAACGCTTAAGTTTTGGCTTTCCTTTTCTATCGTGGCTGCCTGAGAGAGAATACACCGTGTGAGCTTATCGGAGCTCGAACTACTGCCCGGTTATAGTTTGTTTGCTCCTGCGTGCGTTGTCGACTTACTTGCCCATTTCCATAAGCTTACGCGCTATATGCATCAGATATGGAACTTTTCTACGTATTAAATAATCGATATAGAATAACATGAAGGTATCGAAAATAGCCTAAAATCGCCAAAGCAAAATAACTTTTAGTCAACACTTGCACAATGAAATTACAGATTTTTAATTTTACTATATTACAAATAAAACTTTTTGGAGCTAAAAAATTTCTATATAATTTTGAAAAGAGCTAGGAGCTAAAGCCCAATTTTCGGAGCTAAATAGAAAAATAAAGAGCTAAATCTAGCTTAAAAAGTACAAAAATAACAGCACTGGTTATCACGTAATGTAATGTAAATTTTTTCAAAATAACGAACTCGCGCCTCGGAGCGCCAAAGTTTCTTCCCAATGATGGAGTGGAATCAAAATTTTCCTCCTTTTAAGAATGTGGAATGAATTGCTTTAAGAAATTCACCACCATTTTCCGAGATATGTTAGGCGTAGAAAATTCAAGCCCATAATACTAAAAAGGTGTTCGCACGAGGCGATTTTGCGTTCAACTTATGCAGGGTTGCACGAAAAAAAAGTTGAATGGCCAAATGGTGGCTGGCGACCAACTTTGTTGAAAGCGATTAGTTGAAAGGCCGTTCAACCAAAAGTAGAATGCAAAGTTGAACAATGCAAATGCCTTTTTATGGCGAATATTTTGATAATTTTTTATATTTTGATATTTTTAACCATTCAATTTTTTTTTTCGTGCAACCCTGCGTAAGTTGAACGCAAAAGTGGCCTGAAAAATCGCCTCGTGCGAAAGCCCAATAACGCTGTACATTTATTGATGGGCTTTTGTGAAAATGTCGTTTAGAGTCATTCGTAATCTGCTTTTCGGTATAATGAATCTGTTTAGGCGCGTCTGCTAACACCAGGCGCCTAAATACATGCTATGTACTGCTGCATGTGCAAAAATTTCCTTTATGCAATTTAGGAAATTCTTGCACATGCACTTCTCAACTGCCATGTAATTGAACTTTCTTAAGTTCTAATTAGATGGCACTTCAAAGNCCATTGGCCACAGTGCCTACCCATTACTTTTTGGTCCAATTAATATTTTTGTTTATATACATACATGCAAACATACTGGTCTCCCCTCTCACTGAGTTATTCAGAATCCTTAACCCTCTAACAACCAAGGCCGCCTTTAGATTTTTCCCCTAAAAGCAAAACTGTGTATGAATGACCCATTATATTTTTCGTTGCTGTAACAAGCCCCAGTTTGCAGATCAATCTGTTTAAAATAGAAATTCACACAGTAAAGATGTCTTTTTGTTATTCACGAAAAAGTGTATTTTCTAAAATCAAAATAAAAATTATTTGTAGTCGCAGCGAGTGGAAAAAATTATCAGTGAGTATAAAAGGATGTTCTATTTCGACTAGTGTCGAAGGTGATTTTCAAAAGTGGATTTAATAGTGATATTTGCGTAAAAATTGTGAGGCAGTCTGTAGGTGGTCCTGGGCAGCCAGGTGATTTTTTTTTTGTGCAATACTTTTCTGTGTATAATTTTTTTAGCATAGTGTTTTAATCTTTTTTACAATGTATGTTATCTTACATTGTTTCTTGTTAGTGATGAAATTGACGCAATGGATAAGTTAAATTGACTCTGATCTTGAAACTGATGGCGAGGATGACTTCGATATGACAACATACAGCACTGGTGATGTAAACTACCAGGATCCAACTCCAAAACTCAAGCGTACTGCACAAAGTGCCGTCTGAGCCTTTGTAATTCCAGAAAAAAGCCTTGATTTTTAACTTGTCATATTCAAAAATATGTAACTGTTTTTAGTACCTCAATTATCCGCATGCATTTTCGTTCATTAAAACAAAATTTTTATTTCACTGGTTATCATATATTGTTTTAGTTCCAGCGCCTTTTAAATTGCACAGGTTAAAAAACGCAATAATTCAAAATTTCAAGAGGATGGATATTTTTGTTGCGCATTTCTTAGGCGTGTCTAATTTTATGGGCAACATCAAAAATTTGGGTGTGAGAGGGTTAATTAAATTAAATGTTGGTACAATGTGAATCTGAGCTCACAACGGATCTTCTCTAATTTCCGTGTGTGTTTTATGTTTTGGTGCCATTTATATATATACATAAATATAAGCCGCCTTCGATTCGCTACTTCTCTGCTTCCTATTTTTGAGCTAGGCTCACTTAATGAAACATTTTTATGTAAAACCAACAACAGAGCTAGTAAGTAGCTATGAACGTTGGCGAATTTCGTTGTACCTCATTAGTTTTGTTCGTTACGCCACTCGCTAAATGTTGGCAATTCAATTGCGGCTATATTTTCACTTTTTTTTTTTATTTTTTCCCCCAGTAAGTAGATCGTAAGAACATTCCTGGATCTATGAAGTTCTGAATTTTTCCGGGCTTGACTCAATTTTTCTCTGTGATATTTGGAGATGTCCTTTGAATACCTCAAAAATTCGGAATGCAGTTTTATTAACTGGGCTGCATACGCAATGAGTGTATTACGCCTACATACAGCTATTCAAGTGACACAGTTTGTAAAGCTTCTTTCGTATTTTCTAATAAAAAGACGAAAAAAAGTATGCAAGGTAGTTCTTTCGTTTTCAACACTTTTCTTAAAACTCGATCACTCTTAAAAATTAGATTAGAATGGAGCTTCCTGCAAAAAAGAATATTAGCCCAGCTTTTTAAAGAAATGTATCTATTAAGGTGGAGCGTACCGTATGTAAAGCAACTTTCTAACTCAACGTAAAAAAGCACATCCTTATCTGCTTATCTGGCAAAAATGCCTTAGATACTCAAATTCTCGAAAATTCTGTAACGCACGAGCAAGCAAGGAAATTCCATTAAAACCGAATGAATTTTGTTTTAGTGCAGTGTTGCCACATGCAGGAAAAAGCGGCTACGTTTAGGTATTTTAATATGTAAAATCTCTACATTTGTAAAAAGAAACAGGTTTTGATGTTTTTTTAAATGGTGAATATAAACAAAAACTCAAATACCTACAAATGTTTGCCGAGTGGCGACTGCAAAAATATTTGCTCACCTGTCGTTATAGCGTGTTAAAAACTCGCTGGGAAAAATTGCGATTTTCTTAACTCTACGAATTTTTATTATATCGACAGCGCTTACACTTTACCTTACCACATCAAAAGTTACTTAGATTCTCAACTAACAATCAACAAAACCTCCGCGGGAAGTTAAGCGACCAGCAACCTGGTAAATTTGGGTTATCCGTTCATTTAAGCAATCGGGTGCCACCAAGTGATGAACAACGGTAAATAAATACGGACAATAAAAAATGAAATATGCTGGCAGCTCATTTAATTTTAAGAAAATTTACTTAAAAAATGTCCACATCCAACGTTGAAAGCGAACCTGCAACAGATAACCAGTTTAACGTAGCTTAGAAGCCAAGTACATGCATACATATTTACAGGCATCTTACCAGCCACATTTTGTAGCCGGAAGCAGTACCAGTGCCCAGCAGAAGGAGAATTATTTAACAAATTTACGCTAAAATATTGTCTAACTATTTGAGTGTATTTGTGTGTGTGTGTGTATGCATTTCGCCCCAGCGGCTATCAGCTACACAGAATTTCTGAATAAATCTTACACACCGTCATAAAAATGGCATTCGGTGGCGGCACTTAACTGAAGTTAGGGGCGAGTGAAGGTGTTGACTTTATTATAAGAGGCATACAAACATGCATCTGCCATTACAAATGGCATCTGGAGGAGCGCACCTGCTATGCCAAACTGATTGAAAAACTCAGTGACGGGCTTATGCCTGGAAGGAATGTCGGTGGTAATTTACACATACATATATTTAGTTGCAGGGCCAGACCCCCATGGCTGGGCGAAAATTTACATCAGCTCATAAATTAAGGAAATGTAACGAAAGTTATTGCCTACCAGCACCACTCTGCTACAAGTGTTTCTTCGAGTACTCAATTACAAAATACTGGCCCCTCTCGCATGCCTGTGCCGCGTACGAGTGGCTGGACACAAATTCACCCACGGACATTGCTGTAAGCGAAACATTCCTTGCATTGCTTAATTTGGTTGAAACTAAATTTTTATAGTCCATCAGCATCAGCACCATCACCACCCACATAATCGTAAACATTGCTACGCGCTCATCTGCTGAGTTATCATTAATTTCACTTACCTCCTGATGTTGCGTTGTATGGATCTCGTCACCGCTGACATGTCGCATGCACCTCGATCGCCGGGTTTGCGACCCTCCAACCGACTGCTGCACGAGCGGCCGTCGAGCGTGGCGTAGATGTGTCGACGTGGCACATGTGCGGTGTAAATATTTCGCGGCGTCGGTATTTTGCTCTTCATCGCACGTGGACTTGGTTCGAAGCCTGAGTCATGATCCTTGCTTGATTGTCCGCCTTGTGCGTAGCTGCTACCAGGTAGTTGTGCATCTCCATCGTCATCATCCATTTTACTCTTCCAGTGACTGCGCGTTTTAGACCCACTCCTGACGCGCTTCTTAAGCCGGCGCTTGCGTCCATTGCTATAGTCATAGACGCCGAGCACAGCGCTGGCGGGCAAGGAGCTGTCAACGTTACCAACACCATGTCGATTGCGCAAGCCAACACCATTTTTTCTAGGCTTCTCTTTGTCGTCTTCATTGTCTAGGTGATCTTCATCTTCGTAGTCGCCTGATATAATTTTATGCTCATCATCAGCGGAGCTTGCTTCCATATCGGCAAATGGTTCTCCCAAACTCGTTTGCGGACCTGAAACAATTTTAAAAACTTGCGAATCGCTTAATTCGAGTTCCTCGTGGTGAGCGCTGCCACTTGCGGCACCGCTTCCACCTTCGCAGGCGGAGTCATCGCTTTTTAAAATCTGGAAGCTTGATTTGCGTACTACTTCTTCGGCTGTGTCATCTTCGGCGGAGTCGGACGGCAAGAGAGTGAAGGAGCGGCGTGTTTCTTTCTCTCGCGGCTTTTGTGCTTGTACTTGGGGTTGTTGTGGTTCTTCTTGATTGGAAGTAGTAGCTGTAGGCGGAAGTGGAGCCTGGTCTGCACCCACCGCTGCCTCAGCAGGTGCTGCGCTTGGAGTCTCGGCATTGGAAGTTTCAGCGCCTTCGGCTTTCCCAACAGCGGCTGTATCAGCCGGTGCTTGAGAGTCGGTTGCTGCATTTGTAGCGTCTGAAGCGCCAACTAGATTGGTAATTGGAATGGCAGATGAGGTTTCAGTTGTTGTCTCTTGAGTTGTGGAAGCTAGCTGTTCTCCGATCTGCGCTGTTGCATTGGATGGCACCGTGGAAGCAGCTGCTTCATCAACTGCTGCTGGCGAGGGACTTGGCAATGGTGTTGGAATTGGCGTTGCTGGAGTTTCTGTTACATTAGGTACAGTTTGTGTGGATTCTTCTTCTTTATCTTTCGTGGGCGCATCAATTTTAATGTCAGCTGCGGCCGCATTATTCGCTGATGCTGCTAACTCTTTCTTATCTTCTGCCCCTTTCTCTGCATCATTCTCGGTCGTTCCGTTTCTGTTTGTTCCATTCTTTGCATCGCTTTCGAGTGCAAGCGCAGCTATTTTCATGACCTGGTCTACTTCTTTTTTCATTTCGTCTGTCAATTTACTCAAATCTTCTTGCTCCTGTTTAACATCCACTGGTTCTGATCTCTCTCCCGATTCTTCAGCCTGTTCTGCAGCAGTTGCATCCCCCTCTTGATGGACATCGACCTGCGTGGTTATTAATTCTGCTGCTGGTTTTCCTTCCTCATCCGTTAATTCTATTGAATGTTCTCCCACATATGTATCATTCTGCTTTGCAGGCTTAATAAAAGTAGATTCCTTTCCTGCGATACCAATTGTGTCTGTTGTTGCAAGAGTAGTGGTTGATTGCGGCCGGCTTGAGTTTCTTGCGTGCTCCTCCTCACCACCTTCTGGCTTAGGCATTGCCTCCTTCGCATTCTCCCCGTTCTCACGGACCACCTCCACCTCTCTTACTTTATGTTTTTCCGGCGAGGAATCTTTTTCACTGCTGCGCTCATGACTCTCTCTATCCTTAGACCTACGCCTCGATATGGCTTTTTTACGTATAACACGCTGCTTCTGCCGCTTGTGATAACAGCAATTTTCGCAAGAATCTTCATCATCTTCATTCTCCACCTCATCTCTGTCCTCCCATTCGCTCGAGCTCACGTAACGTTCACGCGATTTGCGGCGTCTTATCTCGATGTTGCTCTTCGAACGGCAAATATCAGTTTCGCTTCTTTCATGCGCCGGCCCTTCTTTTGGCTCCCCACAGCTGCTTGTGCGACGGCGTGCCTGTCGACGACTGTGCTGATGCCGGCGACAGGTATGTGCGAACTTTTGCTCTCTGCGATATGTCCGCTCATGGCAGCTACAGTTGCTGTCGCCCTCACCGCCGCCACCATCCGAGTCCGAGTGCTTCGAGTAGACGACGTACTTCTTGGAACTTTGCAGGTCATGCAGCTCCTCTTTCTCTACATACCGCAGCGGACGCACCATATCTGTGCTGACCTCCTGAAATGGATTGGTTCGACGCGCAGCCAAACGGAGTTTACTGGCTGGCAAGCCACCATGCGATTGCAAAAATTTGGCCGTAGAGCGATGGCCTTTTTGCAATGCACAGTCGAGTGGCGTGAAAACTACACCTTTACTATTGCGATAGATGGCGTTGATGTCTCCACCATAGTCTATCAGTGTTTTGCACACATCCGTGTAGTCGTTGAGCGAAGCAATATGCAAAAGACTGCGACCATCATTGCTTGTAGTGTTGACTTGCTTGGGTCGCTGTTCCAAGAGCCACTCGACTAACTCACGCCTGCCCGATGAGCAGGCCTCGTGCACCGGCAAGTCGCCCTTAGCATTTCGCAGCCACAAATTAGCGCCACGCTCCTTCAGCAGTTTAACTGTCTCAAATTGTCCCTTCGAGCAGCCACAGTGCGCTGGTGTGCGGCCTTTTCGGTCCTGACGATTCGGATCGGCTTCAAAATCCAGCAGCCGCGCGGTAGCATCCGCATGCCCCAGTGTCACCGCGTAGTGCAGTGCTGTACAGCCATTCGAGTCAATTAGATCTGTGGGTGCACCACACAGACTTATCAGCGTATCAATGCACTCCGTGTGCCCACGTGATGCTGCACAGTGCAGCGCCGTTAACCCATCCCTAAAGAAAGATAAATCGTATTAGGCGCGAAATAAGCTTCAATTTTTTCTTAGTTTATGAATAGAAACCCACTTATCAGCGCTTTCCACACGCGCGCCTGCCTTCACCAGGGCAATGACTGCATTCGCTGACCCCGCTGAGGCAGCCCATAGCAATGGCTGTCTGCCATCCTTGTCCTGTACGTCAACGCTGGCATGCGGGTGTGACAGCAGAATTCCGAGTATTTCCAGAGCCAGCTTAGTGGCATTAGCCTGACCCACTTTGTTGTCAACATTGGCGCCACACATCTGCGCCGCATAATGAAGCGGCGTACCACCATTCAAGTCAGGAATCGCAATATTCGCACCAGCCGCCAACACCAAACGTAAAGCTTCAACTTCACCGCAAACTGTAACGATATAAAGGAGAGTGTGGGAATGTGCAATGTAGTGTGAAATTTTCTCAACACATCCCACACAGTGTTGGTGTTAAATGTGTCATTGTCACATCATTGACATATACATTAGCGTTTGGACACATGTACTTACCCGTCGCCCAGTGTACCACAGAATGGCCCTCGTTATCCACCGCATTCACGTCGGCTTTATTCGCTAGCAGCAAATTGACCATCGCCAAGTTGCCCTGAATAACAGCCAAGTGAAGCGGCGTAAAGCCATCCTCGTCGGCAGACTCCAGTAAATCTGGAGCTGCGACGGCGATGCTGGCAGCCGCCACGAGTTCACGTGTTTCTGCGTTCTGTGCGGCACAATAGTGCAGTGCGTTCTTGTTGCGACTGTCACGTTGACGAATGCGTTCGGGCTGCAGGATGAGAGAGTGCAATATGCACACGTGCGTACATATATACGCAAAGAAAGTTGATTGTAGTAGATGTGAGATGACATGGAAGAAAAGAAAAGGGAAAACAAACAGATAAAGTTTGCTAGTTATAGGCAGCATAAAAGTACGTGTTTTAGCAACTGAAATTATATTTCAAAATAAGTGGGATTCGAGTTTTTTATGGTTGGTTTAAAATCCTCGCTGTATTTCTAAAAAGCATTTTAAAATAAGAATTGGGTGACCCGAAATTTTGGGTTTGTTCAATACAAGCATTTGCTTATTTAAAAAAAAATATATATATCTTTTTTTCCATACACTTCGTTCCTTGACGTCAATTGAAAACGCCACGTGAAGCAATGTCCTTCTCTGCCTGTTTCTACGTTAAATACTCTTAAGACTGAAGCGATTTTGTTCATTCATGCGACTTGACCAACCTAAAGAAACCAAGCAGGATTTTATCTTTAATTTAAAACTAATGTATAAAATAAATATACTTAATATAATATAAGTAATAATTTTCCTGACCCCCACCCGCCCTTCCCCCGGAAATGTTTTTTTCTGGATCCGCTCCTGCTTAAATTTAATATTTTCAGTAAAATATTGGAGTGAATTAAAATTTCAATAAAAGTTCAACGCTAAAAAATTAGATTTTGTTTATAATTAGCTACTCGCATTAAAAGATAAGCCGCTTTTGTGTTTCTTTTTACTTTTATTCGTATTTATACCATAATTCGAAACCCGGCATGTATGTACGTATGTACATATATGTGTAGCTTTATTTTCGTAATTAATTAGTATTTTATCATTTCGATCGTAAGCAAATAGGTTTGTGGAGATAACTAGCGATTTATTCACATACATACATACAAAAACACTACATTGGCTTGCAACATAAATCGAAAAGAATGCAATATAATGCTAAAAAGTACGTACAAACTTGTACATTAATAAAATAGATAACGGTGTATTTCGTTACCTTAATATAGAAAGGCCCTAAATCATATTGTCGCTGACATACAAAATGCCGTAACTAAGTAAAAATTCAAAATTCGCTCTTTGATTGTTTATGATGCATTCCATCGAATTATAAGTCCCCACATCATTTTAAGCAATAAAAAATTTTACTCAGTTACGGCTTTTTTGCGATTCAGCGACTATATGAGTTAGCGCCTTTTTATATTAACTTAACGATTTCTAAAATATTGAATTAAATTCTTTTTACGAAACTAACGTATTCAACGTCTATCAGTTTTATTGCCATTTTTAATAATGTAATTCGAGTACTAACATTTTTTTTTTTGTTGAAATCTGAATGAAACCTTAATTAGAAACGAATATTTATATTAAACAACTAAAATGGCGTACATATAGAAATTTATAATTAATCAGTAAAACGTGGAATGCTAAAAAGTTGAACTTCTCATCGATTGGCGCTGTATTTGGATATTTAAAATGCTATAACGCCATGCAGCAAAAACCAAAAATTTTCAAAACACACGAAACCATCAATATACTAACGAAAGAATTGGTCAAATATAGCAAAACTGCGAAATCTAAGGGCTGATTATTTTTTCGATTACTATGCATTACCTTATCCCACTGGGTTAGAATCGGTCGGATGGCTGTGGTGTACCCTGACCGATATGCCGACATCGTCTCTTTAGAAAAATTTTGGGTATGCAGTTTTGTAGCTCATTAAATTTAAGTAGGTTAAAGTGCAAATCTCAAGACGCTAAAAAACGCATTGATTTTTAATATTTTTTTTTTTTGGCTGACGGTGTTGTGCATTTTCTTCCACCACCAGCAAAAAAAAATTATTGAAAATCAACGCGATTTTGTAGCGTTTTGGAATTTGCACTTTAACCGACTAAAGTTTAATGAGCTACAAAACTGCATAACCAAAATTTTTCCAAAAATTTTAAAATTTTTGCATGCAAATTTTAAAGTGTGTTGAATTTAACTTTCATAATTTGAAGTTTGGCGAAGGAGCTTTTAAAGGCTTCTTTTAGGAAAGTTAAAATTAGCTTATTTTCCCTAGATACGTTGACTTATGCCTGGAAGAGACTTATCAAATTGGTTATTTACTTAAAATTTCCAAGCTCATTACTTGCTTCAACAACATTTTAATATAAGTCTTGTTTGGCACGTTTTGCAAGTGATAATTTAAGATTTTTTTTTTTTTCAAATTACTCAGTTGGGAGTAATGCAACCAGCTGGTGTTTAAATTAAACTCAATATATTTTCTCATTATAATCCATTCAGAGTTACTAGTATGCGGCTTCTGGGGAAAAATTGTATGACACTACATACATGAATAAATCCATCTATATATTAACATATACATACATATGTTATATACGTAATTATAAGAAATGTATGTTGGTATGCATATCTGTGCCGTAGAAAAAAATAATACAGTCAAACCCGCTTAAGTAACACAACACACAAAGGCAGCTCACATTTTTTGCCACTTTCCTTATATGGGACAGAAATTTTTAAATTTTTTTATTCAAACGAAACCCGTTTTTTAATGTCCATATACACGATTATGTGCAACTTATGACATGCATCTGGTAATAGATTAAAATTCTTCCTAAACAATAACAAAGCAATTAACTACATAAATATGCACCCGACTAAGTTAAGTATCCCAAAAAGTTGACATTTCTGGCCGAGGCACTTAAACGGGTTTTACTGTGAATGCTTTTTAATTAAATAATTATAAAATATTTTCACGTTTATCCAATGCATATGTGTACACACATATATTCCTCAATAATATGTAATAAGTGTATGAGTATGTAATTAATAGGCTTATCAGCAATGCCGCACATTGGCGTGTGTGGCTTGTGCAACATGTCGCAAACTTTTATCAACTTTGAAACGGTAATTAATTCAGCTTTAGTAATATCAGAAAAAACTTCAATATTTTTAAAGTAAGCATAATAAAACAACTAATATTTGAACGAGCAAACAAACAGGCTTTCAAACGTGTAAAAGCTTTTAAAGGTGTATGGGCGAAATGAAAAAAAAACAATTTAGGTACACATAGATTTTGAATTGAAATCATTTTTAGTTTAAATGTCCACTATGACTATAGACTATGTTTTAGCCAACTAAAAAAATACTTAATTCCTTAAAAAGTCTCTTCATCAGAAATCAGGTTTGTAAGCTTTTCAAAGCTTAAAGACAAATACTTGCTTAAATGCTAACATGAGATAAATACTTACAACTAGCTTAGGTTAAAGAGTCTTTAGAATACTTTAGAAGGCAAAAATTGGCTAAGTTTAGTTATATCTCTTAGAAACATTCCGATAGTTCAGTAGCCCATTCATTTCAAAGTGCAAATTTTAATACGCTGGGACTTACCGTTGCTTTTTGGTAACTTTTTTCTCTTTTTTGTAGAAGGTGTTGCTCATTTTCTTCATACAAAAAAAAAATTCGAACATACCTTGTATGGAAGAAAACGCGCGAACCAAAAAATTGCAAAAACTTAACGGCAAGTCGAAGCTACTTCAAACTTGCACTTTGAACTCATACTCAAAACAATTCTAAACAAGTAAAAAAGTCTAAGTTCGGGCGGAGCCGAACATTAAATAC